CACCTCAACGAAGGCCGTACAACGAAGAACTCGCCAACCTGCACTAACCTGCATTGCCAGCAAAAGTTCTCACAGCAGGGCTTCACAGCACACTCACCTTCCGCATCCTGACCCTTCGCAAGCCCTGGCCACACAGCGAGCGTCTGGGTACCTCTTCTGGAGGAGGAGGAGGAGGAGTGTGGCTGCAACAAAATTTGCAACAACATGGCCTAAGTGGGTTTAGGGTTTATATAGGGTTTAGGGCTTAGGGCTAAGTCTTGACAAGGATTGTTGAGACGCATCGGCCTTGCTGATGCTTTTAGCTTGGCAGCTGGTATCGTCCCAAGGCTACAAAGCCAAAGCCATGATTCCTGAGGCCCCATGTGAGCTATATAGGGTTATATACGGGGTATAGAGGGGTAATGAAAAATCAAACGGAAACTACTATTCAGGGCTTCGGGTTTATGATGTCAATGATAGCGAATCAAATGGAACAGAACATGGAAAATGAAATGGAAATTGCTATATACAATAGGTTTATATAATGATTATATGCTAGACTAAGAAATACTCCTCACAGGGGGGTTATATAGGGGACTACATAACCTCTGTATTTCGGGTTTAGGGTTTGGGGTCCAAACTCCTTAAAGGGGGTTATAAAGGGGATTATATAGGGGAGTATTATAGGGCTTAATCAGGGCATACTAGGACTATAGCTCATGTAATCTTAAAACATGCAACATGAGGACGGTATCGGGTGTAGGGTTTAGGGTTGAAGGATGCGTTTATGGTAGGTGTTGTTCAACATGCCTGCCTCCCCAAAACCACAAAGCAAGTGTTTTCGGGGTTTTGTTGCTGCTACGCGGGATGTGCCTCCCCAGTAGTTTGTCCTCCCAAGAAGTTTTCACAACCCCCTCTTGCGAGCCCGAACACTCCAAAACAACCGACACCTGTAACTCCTAGCCCCAATTCCCAACCTTGAACCTTAAACATAAACATCATAAAGCCCGAACTCAGACCCTAACCCCCTTTTCCCCAAAGCCTAAGCCCTTAGCAACAAGCCCTGGCAGGAGCCCTTTCATGATGGTTTGAAACTAATATGGGCTATCCAAATTTTGGGATACTGTAATGGGGTCCCTATTGTAAGGATTATAGCATTGTGGGCTCTATGTTGGGGTCCCCCTAATTATGGAAACTACATGTGGAAGGGGACGAATTAAATTAATGTTGACAACCCGCCATTCCTCCTTGCACCAAAGCCCTTGACAGGTTTCAGTCATGCCGCTGAATCGTGGAAGGCACGTGCCCTGTGTGGGACCAGCCTTCTATGGCGTTGGGGCTTAGGATTGCGGGGTCATGGCGTAGGGTTGTGGGTTTAGGATTGAGGGTTTTGCGTTCAGGGTGTAGGGTGTAGGGCTGAGCGGTTAATCTAAGGCTCCCGGCAATTTTTTAGGGATTACTTACATGATCTCTTGGGAGAGCTGTACATGGGTCTCAGAAGGGCTGTGCAGCTACAGAGGGGCCATCAAGGGTTTCAACGGCCCTTGCTGTCGAAATAGGTGCGGTGCAGGCTTCTCAGCCTTCCGCATGCGGGTAGCAGATATCGAGTTTTGACACTTCACTTTGAAACTTGTGGCTTGGGTTTACTGTGCTACATGGTAGTTTCTCTAGATAGGGGGACCCCAATATAGACCCCAATATATTATAGTCTTTATGCCTTCTTATAGGGACCCCCCGAAAAAAACACCCCTAATTTTGAGAAACCCTAAACCCTACACCCGTAAGCCTATATAACCCTGTACATATAGCCGTATGTACCCCTATATGTCCTCAATGGTACCCGTAATTTTGGTGTTATAGGTTTTGGATTCTGGTTGCAGGCTGTGGGCTTAGTTAGCCATCCTAAGAGCTTCAGGTTTAGGGGACATTGGGGTTTCCCATAATTAGGGGTACGTTTTGGGGGTCCCCATGATAAGGATTATATTATATAATCCTATATTGGGGTCTCCTTATCTAGTGAATTATAAGTACTTGGGAGGTCCAGGTAGACCTCCTGAATAACCATTCTAATAGCATGCATTATTTGGAGGCCATTGCTCAATAGTTTCCTGCTTGATATCTTGAGCATCACACACACTTTGATTCCTAGCTTCGCAAACGCAAAGCCATAAACCCCAACACCTGTTACCCAGCCTGCCCCGCAGCGCAAAAACCCTTGCTTGCGTCATTCATGGTACTGGACTACCGCATCTCTATTCCCCTGTGTCAACTGCTACCATAGAGGGGGAGTGACCTAAACCTTCACAACCTTGCAAAAGGAGCCGCAGCTTAGGAGACAAAATTCAAAGTGTGAGCCCTCAACCCCAAGTCGTAAGTCTCAAGCCTACAGACCTAAACCACAAACCCTGAACTCCTGAAGGAAGTGTGGGGCACTTCCTTGTTCTCCTGGATCTCCTGGGGTGCCAACCTGGACCAACGCTTTTGCACGTTTCTTAGAAGGGGGTGAGTCGAGACTATGTAGGCATTACGGGGCATTGAGCATTAGGGCCACTAGGGTTTAAGGTTTAGGGCTTTATTCAGGATGTTGGAATCTTGGAAGTTATTGTATGACTTCATCGGCCAGTACTCGTGTCCTTCCTATTCAGTTTCATCCCGCGCTTGGGTCCAGGGTTTAGGGTTAGTCTTTCTGAGGGATCTGTCATCACTCCTGAAAATTCCAGATTGATGAATCAAGTTTGTGACCCAAAGCTTGAACCCTAAACTTGAAACCCTAACCCTGACTCCTCCACTCCAAGCGCGCCTTACTCCGCGACCTTTGCACCGAAATGCTTCATGGTTTCCACAAATTAGGAGCCCCTTGCTGAGAGTCCGGAAACACAAGTATGTTGGGGTAGATCACGGGTCTCCCTATTTCTGGAACCCGCCTAAATTTTCTACAAGCTTGATTCTGGCAATGCTACGGTGGATGGAGGATGTCTTGCACCACGTTGGAATGCCACTATACTGTAATTCCTATGGTATAAGGTCTATAGGGTGTGCAAGTTTTCCTCTATCCAGAGTAGGGTTTAGGGTTGTCCGTTGGAAGGTCCGCAGTGTGTTGTCTCAGTCGCGTTGCAGCGCGAAAACACGCGTGCTGTGCTCCGCCGCCTCCCTCCAGAGGCTGATCCTCCAAGCACTTTTGCTGAGCCTTGAGGCTTCTCCCGCCTCCTCGTCCTTGCTCCCGCACCTCGCCCCCGCCTGTCCTGCCGGCCTCCGCTTGGGTCAGTCAAGCCTCCGCAGCGGCTTGCCTGCACTCTCCTGTCCCGCCCGCGCCTGCCTGTCCTCTCGGCCTCCGCTTGGGTCAGTCAAGCTGCCTCCTCTCTGTACAGGTGCTGCAGTCCGCTCAGGTAGAGCCACCGTCGCGCTACTGTATTCTAGTAGAGGTTTCTGCCCGTGACGCTCCGCTGTGATGTTTCTGGGTCCGGATCCTTTTTCCAGTAAGCTTTAGACTCTGACTGATGATGAGAGACGCTGCCTCCAATTTTCCCAAACAATTTCCAAACCATTGTCTGCGTCAACTACATGATATGCAGACGGTTGCCCACAATCCGAATCCTCATTATTGGTAACTCTTCAGAATAATCCCCAAACCCCCTTGAAACCCAGTTTCCATTGTCTTGCCCATTCCATTCCCCATTATGTTTGATCCCTATCTTAAAGCCCTAATCATAATGCCTAGATTGCTAAACCCTAAGCCCCAGATTCCTAAAGCTTAAGCCCTGCATTACGAAGCCCTAAACTCGATTCCTCAATCCTTAAGCCGAGGTTCCTGAACCCCTAAACCCTCAACGCGAGATTCCTGAACCTTAAACCCTAAACTCTAAACGCGAGATGAACCTTAAACCCTAAACGCGAGTTTAATCTTAGACCCTAAAGATTCCAAATAAACACAAGATTCCTGAACCCTAAATCGAGATGAATCCCATACCCTCAACGCGAGATTCCTGAACCCCTAAACCCTAAACGCGAGACTCCTGAACCCCTAAACTCCAAACGCAAAATTCCTGAAACCCTAAACTCAAGATTCCTAAACCCTAAGCCCGAGGTTCCCAAAACCCTGAGCCTTAAACCGCGCAGGAGACTCTTGTCATCCTCAGCTGGGCGATCTTCGTGATGTCCCCTGCCCTGGACGACGGTCTGGAGGTTTACTTGCGATCTTTTTAGGTGTACATAAGTAGGTTAAGAATGGGGATCATTGGGTTCAACATATGTTTTAAAAGGGGCATAAGTATGCTTACTAAGTACCCCTGATCCTCCAAGTAGGGACAGTCCAAAGGTTTAGGTTAGGTGGACCCCACGCCCTGCAATAGTGGTATAATAGGACTATGAGAGGACTGGTGATCCCTCATAGTCACTCTTGCTAGGTGGGGGTTTCACCTAAGACTTGGTTTACTGATTAGGATTTAGTGTGTTCATTTCCGCAGTCGAATCTAGCGTTAGGGGTTTTAGAGTTCTGAGAGTCACGACTTCGGCACGCAGTATGCGGATCGCCATCGTGCTTGTTTGTGTTTGGATAAGGATCCTGGTCAGTAGGTCCCTTGCAGTATCTGAAATTGTCATGGTGGCTCCGGGACATGTTGTATGCAATGTGTTCCTGCTGTGCTGGATATGATGCCCATAAGACGTTTATGGTACCTTCCCCAAAACAGGGGGACCCCAATATAGACCCCAGCATACTATAATCCTTATGGTTGGGACCCCCAAAATGGTATCCTCAATTTTGGCCGTATGGGCATCTAGCTGATGAATGGCTAGTCCTCAACTCCGAACCAGTTCTTAAAGGCTTAACGTTTTTGGTTAGGGGTACTATATAGTATATTGGGGTTATATAGGGATACTGCAAAAGAAAATGGAAACTACTATAGTATATCGGGGTTATATAGGGATAATGGAAAAGGAAATGGAAAGTGCTATATAGGAGGATATTGAGGTTCTTAAGGGCTTAATTTTTTTGGTGAGTTAATTAGGTTGTACGGTGCAAGCCACGGACCCACAAAAATGTTGTCATGTGCATTTTGTGAGTTTGTTGCTGTTCTTCTGACTCCTCCTATCATGACTCCCTGAACACTGAACCTCGAAGCTTAGAGCTTTAGCCATAGGAGTGTGGCTATTGTCCTCATCCTGCGCTTGGATGTCCCGAGCACTGCTATCCTTCTTCCTATCATACAATAACACGAATGACAATATCATCAGTAATGACAGGTAGAAAAAATCAAAGTAAGAGGAACAAGAATAAAAGCAATAAGAGTAATCATAGCAGTAATAATAGTACCTTGAGTCCTATCCCACCTTATGCATACCCTAGACCCGAAACCCTAAGCCTTCAACCCTAAACTCTAAACCCTAAGCCCGAAATCCTTATCCCAGGTGTTATCCCTAAGCCCTAAGCCCTATACCTTTAACCATAAAACCTCATTGATATAGCCTCATGACGGATTGGATGTTTCTCCCACGGTAGTCCTCTCATGTTGCCACCCAACAATGGAGAATCAAATGGAAAAGAACATGGAACATGAAATGGAAACTGGGTTATATTGGGCTTCTGTATGGTAATGAGGGGTACCCAGAGCATATCATTGAAATTCTTCGGGCTCTTGAAGAAGCTCTTGCCAGCTGCGTGCTGGAAGTTTCCCTTACAGCCTAGGGCACCATGAACCATAAACCCCCAAACCAACACCCTTTTCTACACCCTATAAAACGCAAGCCTCAAGCCCTAAACCCCTCAACCCTAAACCCTAGACCGCGCGACCCTTGCCCGAAGTTCTCGGTGCGCAACCCTTGGAGGCCCATGAAGCTGAGCTTTCTAGAGATTCCGAGTTCCCGTACTCCTCCCTGCTCTACTACTACTGGGGTTTAGGGTTTAGGGTTCCCCTGCTACCCTCCCCTGTGCTACCTAACCTAGGTTCCCCTTAATTAATGTTGGACCCTCTTTTGTATGGGCCCCCCCTCTCCCAACAATTGATTACTCTCTTTAAAACGGAGCCACCCCCCAAACCTGCCGCACAATTAGAATCATATGGGCCTTCAGAATGTCTGTTATTCGTAATGGTCTCGCAGAGCATCTGCAAGCTGCTATTCTTGGCTAAGCCAAAGCTACGTAAGGTAAGAACTCGGGTATGTTTAGTTTTTCGGGCCCCAAAAACTTTTGATTTTCCGGATCCCTCCAAACAAAACAGATCCACAGCAACTTCTCAAAAAAGGTATTGAACCGGGTCCCCTGTGTAAAGAGGTTCTAACACTAAGGCCGTTTAAGCGTAATCAGGGTTAAGTAGGAGTCGTCAAGGGGGAACCTCGCGGTAGTATAGGCAGGGGTCAGAGGGGATTGCATGAACAGAGCTACCCCTTTTGTCACCTCACCTCCCAATACTGGAGTGTTTTCAGCAGCCAAGGTTACCATGAGACCCAGAGACCCAAACCCTAAGGACCCTAGAACAAAAGCCCCAAGCGCCAAGCAGTAAACAATTAACCTTCAAGCCTGAACCCTCATTCCTCGACCCCTAAACCCTAAACCCTAAACCCTGACCCCAAACACCCATCTCAGACCCCAGAGCCCTGAACTCGAAGCCTGAAACCCAAAACCCTAGTCCTAAATCCTGGAGGACGGAGGCAGCTTATCATTTTCTCTTTAGATATAGTCCCCCTTAAGTAGATAGAATATGGCTTTTGGCATATGATAATAAGATCCCCATATACCCCACATTCTATCTACTAAACGGACTATATCCCAAAATATCCTTATGATCTCCCCGAAATCCCTATGTGATCCCTCTTATCCCTTTGTAATCCCGGTGTGTACCCCTCTGGGGCACCCAGGCAGCTTATCATTTTCATGCTCCATGCCATGCCCATGCAAGTGGTCAGCTTCGATTGTCAGCTGCTTGGGGCATTTTTTGTGGGAGATCGCGATGGCAGCGGTTAAGTGTTTCGGGTTTAGGGTTCCGATTTTCCAAAGAGTACTCCACAAGGGTACATACACAGATCATATAGTGATTATGTAGGGATATATAGTGATTGCATGGAGATTTGTAGCTTGGGGTTGAGGTTTAGAATTAATCATCAAGGGTTTAGGGCCAAAAGTTAAGGGTTCCGGGTTCAGAGTTTAGGGCCTTGGTTTTTAGAGATTGGGGTTTAGTTCAGGGCGTGGGTTCAGGTTTTGCAGCGGAGGGTTCAGGCTTTAGAGACCTTGTTGGCGGCTTAAGAGCCTCCATTGGAAACGTCATATCCTCATATATATATATATATCTATCTATAGTTTTATGGTTTTTGGTGAGTGTATATTCATCGCCTTGAATATATTGGCGAGTATACGTGTGTATATAGGCATGTTGGGTGCCCAGTTTGTAAAAGTCATTGGTCATATCTTTAAGTTTCTGGATATGTGAAGCTTCAGGAGTACGGGCTTCAGATTCTGTACCAGTGTTTCGGGCTAGGGTTTGTGCTTTGTATGGGTTTGGGTTTTGTGTGTTCAGCGATAGTTTGCCATCGTAGCATGAACCTACTTTGTACGGACCACAGTTTGCTAGGAGTGTTCGGGAGACGCGTATGCCCTAATTTTGGCGTTGTTGACTTTCAAACGGGGTCGATCTTGCTTCAAAGGTGGTTGACCTAAGGTTTAGGGCTTAGGATCTTGTTCATGCAGGTTAGCCAGGGTAGCTAGACTGGGTATGTTGGGTCAATCCCTACCAAAGTAGTGGGTACCACAAAGCGTGATTGTAGGTGTCTTATGGCCCTGTAAGCTCCATATTTAGGGGCTATTGCTGTAGGGCGGATTAACCTAATGGGTAAGAAGAGTGGCATGGAGTCCAAGAACTGCTGGCTTTGGTCAGGAAGATTCACGGTGTGAGGTATTTCAGCAGGTTCTGTGAGCAGCCCAAAGCCACGAGGTTTACTGGGTTGCTGTTAAGGAACCCAAGTTAAGTTATTATAATCAGGAAACCCTATTATTTACTATATATGCATTTTGTGGTAACTTAATTCAAAATCCCTTAACAGCAGTCCAGGTTAGGGTTCAGGGTAGACTCTCTACCCTGACATAGATCACTGGGAGTATAATTCATATTCATGAGAGGGGACTCTACACCCTAAACTGCCTCAGCAAGTGAGTAGCCAAGTCGCAGTTTTCGAATGCTGCTTGTTACAGAATCTTTCGGGGGACTTTTATCCTGCGGGTGCCATTGGATGAGCCCGGCTCCCGCTCTAGCTCTCGGGTTTAGGGTGCTAGCTTCCATGATGGGTCTTATGAAGGGTCCTCGCAAGCCTTGAAAGAAGTTGGGCATTAATCTCTTCTGGGTAAGTGTAGATACCTCAAGCTCAACAGTACCCAATGTTATTCCCTGACATTCCTTACAGTACGTATTTGGTAACACCATACCTCAAAATCCTGTTGTAATGAATGATTTAAGCCTAAACCTTAAGCCGCCATTATGCTCATTCGTCCTTTCTCAGGGAGCTTCCACTGAAGGGAGTTTGGGGGTGGATTGATCTGACTTAAGCTAGACAGATTTCGGGATGCAAGCGTTTAGGGTCTAGGGTCTGAAAGCACAAGGAAGCCTACAAGGCCAGCTTGGGTCGCGGGTTCACAAAGAGGCCACACCATGGGGTATGTGATGTACAGGTTGGGTGTACCACCCAGTAATAGTGGCTATAAGGGATAAGGTCATGTTAGGGTCCTTTTATATTCCTTTTATATCACTATTACAGGTTGGAAGTCCTCCTAATGTATAGGCTTTGGTAAACCATACGAAACCGGGAGGTTTTAGGCTTTAGGTCATCCAAAGCCCTACAGCCCCTAAAGTCCTAAACCCTGAGGCCCTGAAGCCTTCAAACACCAATTACCATAAACCGAACCCTAAATTCTAAACCATGAAATTACCGAGCCCTCACAGACAAAAAGTGCCCCAGCAAGGCTTGCCACAGCCCTATGTCCCTAGTTCCTGAAGCCTAAATCCTGAGTTAAGGGTTTGGGGGGCAAGGTATGCCCTGAGCCCAAGACCTTCAACCCCAAACCTGAGGCCTTGAGCCTTGATCCTTAGCCCTAAACCAAGAGACCCAAGGGGTATGGAAACTACTATATTATATTATATAGGCTTATATAGGGGTAATGGAAAAGAAAATG